TATATCAACTCAGATGAAAATCCCGCAGACGCGGGAACCAGAGGTCTAACAAAAGATCGCCTTTTCTCTCATATGTGGTGGGAAGGACCTGAATTTTTGAAAACACCACTCAAGAGCTGGAATACCAAAACCTTTCCTTTACACAGCTGCGCTCCCGACACAAGTGAGCCTTCTAGCACGATACAAATGAACAATCTCATTGTTGATGAAGGACCAAAAGAGATTTTTGATTTGAACCGCTTCAGTTCATTTTCTTTAGGAAAAAGGGTTATGGTTCTATGCTTGCGATTTTTAAAGAAGTCGTTACGACCAATTAATGAGACAAGAAAAGCAACCATTTTTGAACATATTCCAGAATTTGCGAAGATATCCATGAACACGAATACTATCGAAGGAAATGAGATACAAGCTGCAAGGCTTGCACTCATACGCAACCATCAGCTAGCTCATCTGACGAAGGACTATAAGAAATCAATGGATAATACCCTCCGACTATACTGCGACAATCAAAAAATATGGCGGTCTAAAGGTAGAATTGGCAACAGTACTTTAGAAGAAGACGCCAAAAATCCAATTTTCATTGCGCCAAATACTCAACTTGCTACAGCTATCATCAAAGAAACCCATGAAGACTATCACAAAGGAATTGAACACACTATAGCAAGCATTCGACAGCTATATTGGATTCCAAAAATACGACAACAAGTACGCAAGATAGTCAGCCATTGCTTCCAGTGCAAAATTTTTAACGGTCTACCTTATCACTATCCCGACACGACAGACCTACCGCAAAGACGGGTAATAAGATGTCACCCCTTTCAACACATCGGATTAGACTTCTTCGATCTTCCGTGCTATAAAGAGGGAGAAGAATCGATGAAACTATACGGATGCATATTTACGTGCACGGCCACGCGGATGATTCATTTGGAACTTGTACGCAACATGACAACATACGACTTTCTGAACGCGCTACGACGCTTCATAGGACGAAGGGGAACACCAGAAACAATAACCTGCGATAATGCACCTACTTTCTTACAGAGCGAAAACATCCTAACAAACAAGAATTCGCAGAATGCGAATCTCATCCGTGTAATAGCAAACAAAGAAATCGAATGGAAACACATCACACCATACGCCCCATGGCAAGGAAGCTTCTATGAACGTTTGATCAAATCTATCAAACACGCACTACACAAGACACTTCGTAACAAAGGAAATCATTCTTTTGATGAAATGCAAACAATTATCATTGAAATAGAAGCCTGTTTAAACTCTAGACCTCTCACTTATCAAGGCTCTACAAATGAAGAACTAACTTCTATCCGTCCGATCGATTTTATACAGCGAGATATATCACTTACACTCAAACTGGATAACAACCTTGTGGAAGAAACAGATGATCCAAACTTCATACTTCCAAATGAACAACGCCTGCTAAGAAATCGACAGCAGGTAATTGACGCACTCACTTCATCGTACCAACAAACGGAACGTTTCTGGAATGTATGGCAACATCAGTATCTCACCTCTTTACGTGAGACACATAAAAGGTGCACCCCCAAACAGCGACTAGGACAAGAGATGCCTTCAATTGGAGACGTCGTCTTGGTTTGCGAACCAATACTACCACGCAATGAATGGAGAATGGCGCGAATAACCAAAGTACAACCTGGCTCTGACGGACAAATCCGCGAAGCAGAACTTATAACAACTACAAGACGAAAAATTCGACGACCTGTAAATCTACTCATCCCATTGGAAATACAAGACAAAGAAAAACAAACGAAAGAACAACATGGCGAGAATCAGACAGAGATAAACGAGAAT